GTTAAAGACCGAAATGAAGCACGTGGTAAGCTTTTGGTGAAGACGTCGGCTAATTGCTGATCAGATGGGACAAAAGAAGTGCAAATTGTGCCATTTTGAACACGTTCACGAACAAAGTGACAGTCTATTTCGACGTGCTTCGTACGCTCATGAAAAACCGGATTGTTGGCAATATGCAAAGATGCTTGATTATCACAATGTAACTGAGCGGGATGAAGCGGAATGTGTAACTCTCGAAGTAATAATTGGAGCCATGTTATCTTGCTAGCGGCAGATGCCATAGCACGATACTCTGCTTCGGCTGAGGAACGAGAAACAGTCGGTTGCTTTTTTGTGCGCCAAGAAATGGGGCTTGGGCCAAGGAAAGTGCAATAGCCTGTGGTGGAGCGGCGAGTGGTCGGACAAGAGGCCCAATCGGCGTCACAATAAGCATGCAAACGTAAAGAGGTGTCAGAGGAGAGTAAGATTCCAAGATCAGGAGCCGCTTTGAGGTAGCGAACCACACGAAGAGTGGCATTCCAATGGCAATCCTGCGGAGAAGACATAAATTGAGATAAGAGGTTAACGGAAAAAGTAATATCCGGTCGTGTGACCGTAAGATATAATAGACGCCCAACGAGGCGTCGGTATGGCGCAGGGTCAGACAAAGGTGACCCAGTAGAGGAAGCAAGGTGAGTATCGGGATCCATTGGTGATGGTGCAGGTTTGCACCCAAGAAGGCCAGTATCCGAAAGAATTTCGAGTGTATATTTCCTTTGATTGAGAAAAATGCCATTTTTGGAGCGGGCAACTTCAATACCCAAGAAATACTTCAAGGGACCAAGATCTTTGATCTGAAAATGCTGGGAAAGATAACACTTAAGTAAAGGAATAATAAAAGGATCAGCACCAGTTATAATAATATCATCAACATAAACAAGTAAAATAGTGAGGTAAGAACCACGAAGATAAGTAAACATAGAATAATCAGCTTTAGATTGACGAAAACCGGCACGCAAGAGGACATGAGAAAAAGTGGAAAACCAAGAACGAGAGGCTTGCTTAAGACCGTACAAAGATTTGCGCAAGTGACATACACGAGTCTCCCCCTTTCGACCATACCCTGGGGGAAGGGTCATATAGACATCTTCATGTAAGTCACCATGAAGAAACGCATTGGAGACGTCAAGTTGATGAGTGGGCCAATGTTTAGCGGTAGCTAGACTAAGGACGGTACGGACAGTAGTGAGTTTGGTAACTGGGGCGAAAACTTCTGTGTAGTCGAGCCCTTCAAGTTGAGAGTAGCCTTTGGCCACGAGGCGGGCTTTATAACGATCAACAGTACCATCAGGGAGATATTTAATTTTGTAAACACAACGACAACCTATGGCTTTTTTATGGGGAGGGAGGAGAGTGAGATCCCAAGTGTGATTGGCTTCAAGAGCTTGAAGTTCAGACTCCATAGCTTGACGCCATAGAGGATCCTTCTGGGCAGCGGAATAAGAAGTGGGTTCCACAAGTTTGGTGATATTATTAATAAATAGGAGGTGTCGGGGTGTGTAGTTGGGGGTGTGGAGGGAGGAGTGAATAGGATATGGAACCGGACGGGTGTGAACGGTAGAGAGATTGCAAGCATAGTCCTTAAGATAAGTCGGAGGTTTAGAGATGTGGTTAGAGCGGCGGGGTGGCTGCTGAGAGGACGGGTTGGGACTCACGGTGTGTGGGAGGGAGCTAGATGGGTCTGGAGTAGCCTGGTTAAGGATAGGTGAATGAGTGTCAAGGACGGGGTGGGAGGTAGTTGCTGGGATAGAGGGTGATGGATGGTCAACACCTTCATGGTTAACAGGATGGGGCACAATATCCTCAAACGAGGATGGTCGCTGGGAATGGCTGGAAGGTGAGGTGGTGTGTAGGTGTGTAGGTGAAGAAGGAAGATCAGGAATGGGAAGGGGCAGAACATGAGAGGAATCTTGAGAAATCGCATGGAAAAGAAAAATGTGTTCATGAAAAACGACATCGCGACTAACAAAAACTTTTTCAGTGTCAAGATCATAGAGGCGGTAACCTTCTTGACCGTGCGGGTATCCAATAAAAATGCAACGCCTAGCGCGAGGGGAAAATTTATCGGGGTGGTAATGGATGGTGGAAGCATAACAAAGACAACCAAAGGACCGGAGATGACTAAAAATAGGTGGTTGGTGGAAAAGAATTTCATATGGAGTTTTGTGTCGAAGGATGGGAGTGGGGGTGCGATTGATAAGGTATGTGGCGGTAAGGAGACAATCACCCCAAAATTTGAGAGGGAGGCCAGCTTGAAAGCGCAACGCACGAGCCACATTAAGGAGATGGCGGTGTTTGCGCTCAACAACCCCATTTTGTTGGGGGGTGCCGGGACAACTGGTTTGGATAAGAATTCAATTTTGGAGAAGCAGATTTTGAAAGGATGATTGAGTAAATTCCAAGCCATTGTCGGAGCGGAAAGTTTTAACACAAGTATGGAATTGAGTTTTAACATAATTAAGAAAATGCACAACTAATAAATAAGCATCAGATTTAAAATGCATTAAATAAGTCCACGTCATTCTAGAGTAATCATCAACAATAGTAAGGAAATAAGACTGATTAACACGAGTTGGGGTAGAATATTTTCCCCAAATGTCAACATGAATTAAGTCAAAACATGCACTAGTAGTAGGATGATGCAATGGAAAATGTAAACGAGTTTGTTTAGAGAAATGACAAGTGTGACATATATTATTAAAAGAAGAACATCCCAATAAAGGAGCTAAATGATTAAAAACAGTAGCAGAAGGGTGTCCAAGGCGAGAATGCCATGTGCCAGAAGAAACGCTTAAAAGAGCATTTAAAGATTCAGAATGGGAAAAAACATATAAGCCACCGCGTTCATGGCCCCGACCAATCTCCTTCTTCGTCAAAAGGTCCTGAAAAATACAATAATTAGGGGAAAAAATAACAATGCAATTGGAGTATTCAGCCAATTTTCGAACAGATAACAAATTAAACTTGAAGGTAGGCACATATAAAACATTGTCCAAAAAAAGATGAGAAGATAGTTGAATGGTACCAACTCATGGACAGGAATAGCCGTGCCATTAGGGACAGAAATATTTAAATCAGAAGACGGGGAAACGGGAAATGTTGAGAATAAATTAGAATTAAAACAAACATGGTCCGTGGCACCTGTATCAATAATCCATTCATGAGAATTAAAAATGGAAGAAGATAAAGCAAGAGGCATACCAATCATATTAGCTTTAGGTTCCTTAGAATCTTGAAGCAAACGAAGGAGTTTTTGAATAGGATCATTACCACCATTAGGAGCGGGAGTAGGAGTGGAGCTGTGAGTATTACCTTTGCGGTAGAATTTGTGACCAGGAGGGTAACCATGGAGGCGATAACAAACCTGCTGTGTGTGACCAAGAAGACCACAATGAGAATATTTGGATTTGGAGTAGCTTCGGGTGGACTGCTTGTTGGCGGCTGGATTCTGAGCTATAAATGCAGAAGGTGACGGAAGTAAACCAGGTAGAGAGGTTCCAGAAGAGGGCGGGTGTCGGGCAGAATCTGGCAGCAAAGGTGAAGGAGCAGATGCAGCCAACTGGAAGGCAGTGTGTTCCAAGGAAGAAGTAGATGGAGCGTGAAGTCGTTGAATTTCCAAAATATCAACTTTTTATAATGTTTACTAATACATAATTAAATATAACTACAGTCAAAGTTGTGCATTGGCAAACGTGAAAGTCAAACTGTTGCAAGAATTATGGAACGGAGGATAGTATTATATAGTGATATATACTTATGTTTGTAGTTTGTACAATTGTACCCCGTTCGAAAAGGAAACCCAAATAAAGAAGGATATATAAGGAAAAGGGTCGCCGATTAGGAAATAGGAATAAAGGGTTTTGATATTATCTTTTCCTCTTTCCTGTAGTTCTGTAAGACTTATCTGCATAGTTGCACACACAATGAGAATAAAGGTTCTAAGTGTTCCTTTTCCCTATTCCTAGGGCTCCATCTGACTTTAAACCCCTGTTTAGAAAATCTCTAATGCATACTAATTAATGTCTCTTTGTTTCAATCTTTTTTTGGAAGAATCTTTGATTTATTAACTACAAGAATTAACTTTTGTTTCTCAATTCTTTTTACCTGTGACTCACTTGCAATTTCATTATTGTAATTGTCATTTTTAAAATCACTCTTAGTACACCCATAGCCGATAGGCCGTCTCGCCTCACTCCAAAAAAAAAGTGATTGAAAATGTATCATTTGTGATTGAGATTTGAGTAGGAAAAATGTGAAATGATATGAGCCACACATTATTGTCTAAAGAAAGAGCAAAACAATTACTCCATATTTTAGGACGTTTCAAAAAAAGAAAATAAGACAATTATTTTGGGCAGGTGGAGTATATTTTTACTGGAAAGAAGTTTAATATGAAGAAATCTATCAACCAGTTCATCCTGTTTTGTTGTTGTTGTGCCACTGCTTTCACCTATAAATAATTTGTTAAACTACGTGGTTTGGTGGCGGCTAATAATCCTAATATGAAATGAATGGGAATATTTGGTAAAATAATGTGACTCATAGAGCCCGTTTGGAGAACTCTGTTTTCGGCTTATCAGGCTTATCAGCCAGCTTTTTCACCAAACACGTAACTTTTACTTTCGCGCGCTGAATTGTGTAATAAGCCGAAAAAGTAAGGTTGGAGTTACTTTTCTGGCTGTATTGGCTGAAGTTACTGTAGAGGACCATTTTAGCTATTTTTACATATAATTTTTTCTTTAATTTATTAATAAAATATATTTTTAAAATATTTTTTTCTTAAATCAGCAGAATCAGCCAAAACAGCCACTCCAGCCAGAATATCATAAATTTCAGCAGAATCAGCCAAAACAGCCGATTTTGGTGCTACCAAACGGGCTCATAATATAAGTACTAGGCACATGTTTAATTTGATTACTTTTATTTATTTTGTTAAGAAAGTTGGAAAGCAACTAAAGTGTCTGTGGGGGTATAAAGTCACTATGGCAGTTAAAGTGTATGGTCAGCCAGCGCTGAATAATATCCTTCTTTAATTGGCTTTTGGCCCATCTGGATTAAATTTTGTAATGCTAATAATTATTATTCTCTCCCAACTCTTGCTTTCTGATTATAAACACAAACAAATGTCTTATTATGTGCTTTTAAAGTATAGAGAATCTATGACTGGTCTGTTTGGTGAGGCTTGCATTTGAAGTCTTTCTTTCACTTTTTTGTTGTTGTTGAGAGAGGTCACTCAAATGAGAGTTTATGCCAATGGTTCCTTGCTTTAATATCAGAGTTCCATCCTTGAAGCTCTTTCCCAGATGCTGGTTGGGTCGTTTCTTCAAGGGGCATAGGTCAGCTTTAAGTTTAATTTTCAGTAATTGCTATAATACTTCTGATGATTAAATAAATAGATTTTTATAGCATCCAAGAAAAAACTTGTATATCTCACCAACAAGCGGGAGATTGTCATCACCATATTATTGCTTAGATTTTAAGGTTGAGTCTTCTGTTATTCACTTGTTAGAGGGCACTGGTAAGCTCTTAATTTTCAGTAAATATATTTCTGATAATTAGATGAATTGTTATAGTATCTCATTGGAAAATTACTGGCAAAGCTCCACGATAAAAGTCAATCTTATAAGAGTATTTAATTGTCTAATCTTGAAAGATCTACTTGATAAAATGAATGATCCAGTAAACTAGAATTAATTCACTTGAACCTAATTTCACCCTAAACCAGGCATTAACACACTAGAGCATGCTGCATGCACAAATAGATCAAATTAAACTATATTAGACCTGCATTGAATACTTAACCGTATATGTAGAATACTGAGTATGAAACAGACTAACCAAGAAGTAAGCAGACCATATTAGTTCCAAGTAGACTAGTTCATACAAAACCAGAAAATTCCAATCCATATGATGAACAACTCCCTATTTGTTGGTTTGCAAACTCTTCAAAGTGACTTTTTTTTTGTGAATAAAAGTGACTAACTTTTAGTTCGGAACCTTGTTCTATGTTTGAGTTTCTTCAAAAATGGACATTACATTGGTCTATGATTAGTTGAGCTTAACATCCTTAGAACTATCACAAATTTGCCACCCAGTGCCCCTAATTTTTTACTCTAATCTAAGAGCAGAAACAATGAGTGTAATTTATGGAGCATGATCGTTTCCTCACCTTATTGCCTAGGTTTTCATGGTGAGTCTCATACTCAGTTCTTATATCTTTGTTGGGTGTTGGGTTCATTTAGAAACTACAATTGCAGCATGATAGTTTATACAGATGGCCTCCTACTTCAAGTCTTCAACTGTATTTAAGAATGTGTTATCTTGCTTGCTTACCCCTCCGTCTCTGTATATTGTTTCTGTAGCTTTATTCGTCAATGGAGAAAGGTTTCAGCTTTACAGAATTCATCACTGTTTTACTGGTTCTGTCATCCTTAGTCAGTTATTCGGACGAAAAAGAACACTTATCCTCCATTGAAAGCCAAACACTTCTGAGAATTCGGGAACTTCTATACTCTCCAACTCCATTAAGCAGTTGTAATAACCAAACTAATTTCTGCAACATTGAACCATCTCCATCTCTTACCATTGTCTGTTATGAAGGAAGCATAACTCAGTTACATATAATCAACAAGGGCATTACTTCCCGATTGCCGGAAAACTTCTCCATTGATTCCTTCGTTGCTTGCCTTGTTATGCTCTCTAATCTGAAGGTCCTGAAATTGGTTTCTCTGGGATTATGGGGCCCACTGCCTGGGAATATTTCAAATTTAACTGCTCTGGAGATACTTGACTTGAGCTCTAATTTCTTACGAGGATCCATACCACCAAGTCTCTCATCGTTAACTCATCTAATAGCTCTGACACTAGACGGTAACAACTTTACTGGAAGATTGTATGAGGATTTTGATTTGCTTCGAGATTTGGTGGTTTTGAGTGTAAAAAACAATTCTCTCACAGGCACGCTGCCAAACACTCTAGGAGATTTACGAAATCTTCGGGTCCTCTCCTTGTCGAGGAACAAATTTATGGGAAATGTGCCGGATTTAAGCCGCCTGGAAAACCTTCAAGTTCTCGATTTGGAAGAAAACTCGCTCGGACCTAGGTTTCCGAAATTCGGATCCAAAATCACCACCCTCGTGCTCAGGAGGAACAAATTTGCCTCGAACATACCGGACGAAGTTCGATCGTGTAACCATCTTCAACACTTGGACGTTTCTTCCAATGAACTCGTGGGGCCGTTTCCGCCGTCATTGATTTCTCTTCCGTCGATCGGTTATTTAAGCATTGCGGAAAACAAACTGTCGGCAGTGCTTGATGAAAATCTTCCGTGCAATTCCGCACTGAGTTTCGTGGATCTGTCCGATAATCAGTTGACAGGGAGAATACCTAGTTGTCTTACGACCGGTTCGAAGAACGCGGTTGTGCTTTCATCCGGAAACTGTTTACAAGGCGGAGACAAAGATCAGCGTCCGGTTTCGTTCTGTATGAACCAAGCTTTTGCAGCGGGGATTATACCTCGTCGTGACAGTAAAAGGAAAGGTTCCAAAGCGATTCTGGCGTTGATCATATGTGGGAGCATTTTAGGAAGTCTTGTACTACTTGCTATGGCGGTTTTGATTGCCAGAAGATATTTTGAGAATAAGGGGAAGAAAAAACCCGCCACCAGATTCATAGTGGAAAATGCTTCGTCTGTTTACACATCAAAGCTGTTCTCCGACGCCCGTAAGTTCTCACCATTTGGCTTTGGGCCGGACCCATTTTTTGTCATTTTAAAGTAAATAAATACCCAAAATATAGTCTGTTTGTACTTTGAATAAGGGAGTATTTGCAAATAAAAAAAAGCAGGGAAAGATGAGATTATTCTTTTTAATTTTTCATAAAATAATTATATAAAAAAGTGTTTTTCACCTTTTGATTTTAAAAAAATTGAAAAAGTATTTTCAAGTGATAACTTTTGCTTAAAATAGACATTTAAAACCAAAAGCTGGAAACAGATCGAAGGGTGTTTTGAAGTGATTTTCACTTTTCTATTAAACAAAAAGTACTTATTATACCAAACACTACCATTTTTTTCCAGAAACACTTTTTTTCTCAAACACTACTATTTTTTACTATTAAACATTTTTTCACATTACAAAAACGTGAATGCAGAAGAAGCATTTAAAAAAAAAAATTGTGCAAAATAGTACTCCGCCCCTCCAATTTGAAATGGGAGTGCATACGTAGTATCAAACATGCACAAAATTCTAAAATAAAACTAAATATATTTTCTTTTCAAAATGTGACTTATTTACTCCTATTAAAAAATAAAACAATAACTTCCAAGAATATGAGAGAATGAGCAGGGCTAATGGGGGCCGCCGCCCCTCCAATTTTTTCCCCCTAGGTATATTTACTCGAAATTTTAGTGTGTGTGTGTGTGTATATATATATATATATATATATATATATATATGTATTTTTTTATACTACCGCTTCGCCAATCGAAAATTCTTGCGTTCTTGTGTCCGTCGCTGGGAATGAGTCTTATTTGAAAAAACAAAACATTGAAACTCCCATTTGAAATTTTATACAGTATTTTGTTATGCTCCTATATTGTGAATTTTCTCAGTATGTGTAATTGGAAAGAGACCAGGGTGATTAAATTCAACATATGTCAAAAAGTTTCTTTCATGCAGCTAAGTTAAAGTGTGGTCTTTGCCTTATGTTTAATTTAAGGGTATATGACTCGAGCGATGAACTTAGGATCGCCAAGTGTTCCATCATATCGGACCTTTTCACTGGAAGAACTAGAAGTGGCAACGAACAACTTTGATACATCAAGTTTCATAGGTGAATCTTCCAACGGTCAGGTACTCAAAGTTAAAGGTTGCAGTTTTCCAATAATGTAAAGTCAATATTCTACCATTTTTGTGCTTGAAAAATTACCATTTTCATGCACTCAGATATACAGAGGCCAACTGGGAGATGGTTCATATGTTGCTATTAAATGCCTAAAACTGAGAAGAAGCAATAGCATTCAAAGTTTCATGCAACGCATCGAGTTAATCTCAAAGCTCAGACACCAGCACCTAGCCAGTGCTCTTGGCCACTGCTTTGAGTGTTACTTTGATGATTCTACTGTCAGTAGAATATTCCTTGTCTTTGAATATGTACCGAATGGGTCCTTACGGAGCTGGATATCTGGTAATGTACCAATCACATACACATTAGTAAAAGAAATTTGTTGTTTGCATAGGCTACATGCCCAGTTTTTTGTCTTGTGTCAATATTTTGTCAAAAACTTGCCAGTTCACAGACAGAAAACCGACATATATACACGTCGGCGTGTACAAGAAGCAAAATCCCAAGTTATATTATACGGAGTATATTCTTTGCCCTCTTGGTAAAAATGAAACAACAAATCAACACATAGGATCTTTTAAACTAGAGATTCAAATCATAATAATGCCTTTGAGCTAATTCCACATTTGACAGTATTGCCTCTCGGTGCTTGTGTTTGACATTGCAGAGAAGCATGGAAGACCGACACTAAATTGGGGACAGCGAGTTTCAGCTGCTATAGGAGTAGCTAAGGGTATCCAGTTCTTGCATACTGGAGTTGTTCCTGGTGTATTTCCTAATAAGTTGAAGATAACAGATGTTCTGTTGGACCAGGAGCTCGTTGCAAAAATTAGCAGCTTTAACCTACCCATTTTGGCTGATGGACAGGTTTGGAATAAAATGACTTGGAAAAGTATAAACAGATATTTAGTGGGTGTTTGGCAAGCATTCTGGTGGGGTTTTGGGAGCGTTTAAAGAAATCTAAAAGTGCTAAATCAAGAAGCTGTAAAGTATTTGTGGATCAGAACGACCTCTTACAAACTGTTGCTAAAATCAGTTTATATAAATAAAAAAAAAGATAATTTCTTTGCCCACCTTAAAATAATGTCTTGTGAAAACTGCCATCAGAACACTGAATCCGACCACCATTTGAGATCACATCATTTCAAACCACAAATACATGTTTGGATAGCGCAAGGTTTGCAAACCACGGAGTAACTTTTCAAACCATATACATATATAGCCCTTCAACCACTAAAATTGGTGTTATGAATATCTCATCATTGTTACTATCCATGGAATTCTGCAGGTCAGCCTTCCAACTGTTCCAGGTGGTACCAAGGAGCACAATAGTGCAAGGTTCGTAAATGCTGCGTACTATAAACTTATGATGTTGTTTCAGTTTTCAATTGCACATCTTATGAAAGATTTGGTAACTGTAATCTCTAATATCTGTACTTTTTTTTTTCTTTTTTTTTTTTTTTCTTTTTTTTTTTTTTTTTTTTCCTAATCTCTAATATCTGTACTCTCACAACATTATTCTGATGAATCTATTGGCAGTGCAAGATACAATGAAAAGCTGGATGTATACGACTTCGGTGTAATATTACTAGAACTTATTACAGGGAGGAGGATAAATAACAAAAAGGAAGTGAAGATCCTTAAAGATAAGGTATACTCCCATCACCGTCTTCTCTTTGCCAGCAGTTCAAGAGAACGTAAAACTAAGAGTCCATTTGGTAAATGTTTAAAGCAACTGTAATGGCTGAACTTGCTAAATTTGTGGGATTTGTGGTTGAATTGAAAAACCCATTGAATTATCTAAAAGTATTATTTGAAATATATTTCTTAAATAGATTAGCGAAACATATTACAATCAATCTAATGAATATCACATGTTAGTGTTCACTAACAATGCATATATTTTTTTCATTATCACCAAATTAGCTATTGAATGTGACATATTACATGTTTACTCGGTTTGACTATAATGTACTTCGTATAAACATAAGGTAAACTCACCTTTTGAGGACCCGTTAGACCTGATTTATTATGGTTACACATAGGATGTTATATAACTTACATGTGTCTAATATATTAGTATGAATACAACCACAGAGGTTCCTTTTAAGATTAGTTGGATCCTTTTGGGGTCAGTCAGTTAGGCTCAATTGTTAGGCTTTTGTGAAAAGTGTTGCTGATAAGCCAAAGAAACTAAAGCCTACCAAACAGGCACTTAAGTTTCTAAAAGCTGCTCAAGAGACTAGGTAAACCCTTTCAGTATTTTTTTTAGCTTATTCGTGTTTTTGTGCAGTTGCAAGCAAGTCCAACGGCTGATGATGCATGGAGAAGAAATATGGTTGACCCAAGGGTCGAGGGTTCAAGTTCTGATGACTCTGTACGGACAATGGTGGAAATCTGCTACAGATGTTTGTTTGAGGATCCTGCAGATAGGCCATCATTTGAAGATGTTTTGTGGAATTTGCAGTTTGCTGCTCAAGTCCAAGACACATGCCACACAGGCTCTCTTAGCAGCAGCGACGTCTCTCCCATCTCCCCCTTTCACCCTTCGCGACTCCATATATCCGTTCGGTAGCAAGCGGGCCCACCACTAGTTTGTTAAAAAATCACAAAATTTTGTGTGTAAAAACTCATAATGAAGATTTCCTATAGGGGTTCTGGCTATGTCACTGGTTCAGGAATGGCAACTTTTCACATGTAGGGCATAATGTCTTACGTGACACCATTAGATCACTTTAGGGGATCGCGTTAATTTTAAGGAAACTTAATGGTGCAAGTCGCAAGATGAGTCAGCCATACATAAATAGCTTAACATTTGAGTGAAATATATACACCTAGTAGACGTTTTTCTAAGCAGAACTTACCATTGAAGAAAAGATGGGACCTTTGAGTCCATTAGCATATTATCATATCCAGAATCAGGACGTGCAGCAAGTATGGCTGGACTCGGGCCGGTTCGGGCCCGGTTCTGGCCTGGGCCCGGCCGGGCCTCGGGCCAAGAAAGGGAGGCCCGAGCCCGAACCGCCGGTGGCCGGTTCCGGGCCAAACCGGGCCGGGCCGGGCCGGGCCGAACCGGCCCACTTAATTTTTTTTTTTTTGGTCTCCTATTTAATCCCCTACCCCTCCCCCTCAACCCCAAACCATCCCAAACCACCTCAAATGGCCCAAAATACCTAATCCAACCTAAAACTTAAAAAAATTTCAAAAAAAAAAAAAAATTAAAATCCGGCCCGGACCGGGCCCGAACCGGCCGGGCCGGTTCACCAAAACCTGGGCTCGGGCCCGAACCGCCCAGCAGCCGGGCCGGGCCGAACCGAACCGGTGGACCCACCGGGCCCCGGGCCGGGCCGGGCCTAACAGTAACCGGGCCGGGCCGGTTCCGGGCCGGGCCGCCCGGCCCGAGTCCAGCACTAGCAGCAAGGTATTGCATGACAAGTATTTAAGACCCCTTCAGTGGTTAACTTTGTCATAAGCAAAATAAATTAAAACGAGCTACCAAACATACATACTCCTACAAGTAGTAGTTTTAAAAAACTAAAATTAGTTCACACTACAAATTTTTGCCAAGAAAACGAACTGTAAAACCTTCTAAAGAAGGAATACATCAATACATTATCAAATCGATTGTACATTTTATCAAATCGATTGTACATTTTTTTCCCAGCTGTTCACATTTGTTTTAAGAAAACTTTATTACCGTTTACTCTATTTTTCATTTTTGGTAATTTCATTTAAGTCGTACGGCATAAACTTTCATATCCTATCTCTTACCTACTCTACTTTTCACTTTTCATCAGCCATCTCCTACATTTTCCCATTATTTCTCCATTACTCAATATCCCTACAACATTTCTGTGAAAATCTGATAGGTAAAATTAAATGGGATAAGGGTCAGATAGGGCCTCGAACTCGAAAAAAAATGTCAAATAAGGTCATATTTCGGATGCTCTGTCTGGCCGACGCCATTTGGGGCGGTTCCCGATGGAATTTTTTGATGAAATTTTTTGAGCATCTTCCTCATTAAGTCTAGTTTACCCATACCAAATTTCAGCTAAAAATTCAACCGGGAAGGTAGTCAAATAATTTTCCGAAATGTACGGCGTTGTTTAACTTCACAGTTATCTTCAAAAATTCATTTGACTACCTTCCCGGTTGAGTTTTTAGCTGAAATTTGGTATGGGTAAACTAGACTTAATGAGGAAGATGCTCAAAAAATTTCATCAAAAAATTCCATCGGGAACCGCCCCAAATGGCGTCGGCCAGACAGAGCATCCGAAATATGACCTTATTTGACATTTTTTTTCGAGTTCGAGGCCCTATCTGACCCTTATCCCAATTAAATGTGAAGGGTGGGAGTAATTAAACAGAATGACATCTGTCTTTTACATAGCAGAACAAGAAAGGTATTCTGATCCCCATCTTAGCATATCATCCTCCTATTTCGGGACCATAAAATCTTTCAAGATTAGCAAAGAGGGATAAATGAATGAAATGATTCAGTACGACCTTGTATCTATAAAAGTTTGTTATCATGTATGCTCTGATGGGAGGATCCCTAAACACGAAGGGCTGCCACAAAAACATTGGGCGCCATTAGGATTAAGCCTAGCATCCCCATAGCTGAAATTCAGCTCTTCATCTTCATGTATGTCCCTCGTTGCGAAAAAGCAAACACGGGGCAACAAAGCTCCAGAGCTTCGCACTATTTCTGTCCACAGGTTCCCTCCATCGCAGGAATGGTTAATAAAACGTGCAATATTACCAATTTTGGTGGCATCAATGTTCATTCTCATGCACGTGTTTCCAGAAGAAAGATGCTCCTTCACAACCAGAAGCGCAGGTGAAAAATGGGCTCTTGATGACATGTCATCATACTGTTTGAAGCGAGCTCTTGTTACATCAGTTGTCACAAGTTCCCCTTTCATGCAAAATGTACAACAAGATGATATTGATTAAGTTGTGAACCCAAATTGGTCTAGTACAAATAAGAAACCATTCAAAAGTCAACCTAAACATGCCAAAACAGATAGAAACTGACACCAATCGATCGAAAAACGGGAACAAGCCAAAGACATCCAAAACCAACTAAAGTTACTCAGTTTGACTTGGATTTGCATTTTTCAAAACTGAACTGACCAAAGTACCAAACTGAACGGATGAGCACCCCCATTGTATTGTCATATCTCAGTAGAAGTATTGTTCGGAACTTTGGATATGAAACCGATTCGTAAGCATTAGCTCCCAAGTTTGTAAATTGGAACTTGGAAGACCCAAAAATGTGTTGTCACAAGTACCAAATTTAAAAACTTGCAATTTCTTTCATCTAATAGAGAAAACCTTTCTGGAGTCTCGAGGCCATGTTTGGATAGGAACCAAATCTTGGGATTTAACTAGATTACTTCACATTCAGCAACTCTTTTGTACTTTTTGAACCTCGAATCATCAATCCAAAAGGGCCAAACAGTCCAGTGCAATTATGAAAGATCAAAGCATTAGCCAGATATGAAGAGCTAAGTGTGACACTTGAGATTTAATATAAACGGATTAATAGTACTACTCATACCAACAAGGTGCATCTCCTTTTAAGGGAGCTCATTAGCCAAGAACTCCAAAGTTAAGCGTGCTCGCACGGGAGTAGTCTTGGGATGGGTGACCCCCTGGGAAGTTTCTCAGGGCGCGCATGAGTGAGGACAAAGTGCGCGTAAAAGGCTAGTGGCGGTTTGTGAGGACAGTACTATTGGTCCGGAGTAACTACCTCGGGTCCCACGGGGCCGGGGTGTTACAAATGGTATCAGAGCAACCCTGCGACAGTGTGCTGATCCGTTGGATATCGGGCAGGCACTTAGCAGGGGAAAAGATTCTGGAGTTTGATTGAGATTAGTTTAAGGGCGCAACGAGGACGTTGCGATCCTAAGTGGGGGTGATTGTGACACTTGAGATTTAATATAAACGGATTAATAGTACTACTCATACCAACAAGGTGCATCTCCTTTTAAGAGAGCTCATTAGCCAAGAACTCCAAAGTTAAGCGTGCTCGCACGGGAGTAGTCTTGGGATGGGTGACCCCCTGGGAAGTTTCTCAGGACAGTACTATTGGTCCGGAGTAACTACCTCGGGTCCCACGGGGCCGGGGTGTTACACTAAGGCCCCGTTTGGTAGCATCATAGTCGGTACTTATTAGCAGAATAACTGGCCCAGAGACACTTGTTTGGTTGAAATTTATCTCACCACATGATTTTTGTTTCAGCAAATTTAGCATATTCAACAAATTCCAGCCAAATAACTACTACCAAACCAAACAGGCACCAGCCTTTCAGGTCTCATTTCAAATCCTCTGCACAAATTACTGCCGATGAAAAAAATTACCTGAGTACTCGCAGATGAACATTCCTTTCGGAATCAAATCAGCTGCGCACAAGCTCCAACCTTTTCTCTTATCCTTCACGATTTTCAGTCTAACAGAAATGCCTTTTTGAGTCAACCGGTTCCCGCACTCCGATGATAAGCAGCTACAGCTAGGACCACATTCCCGACTAGGAAACTCGGCCGAGTCCCAACAACTGCAACCAGAACTCTCACTGCATCCCCGGGAGCAGTCGCATCCACGGGCACCCTCGACCCTGAATAAAAATGGGTCAGGTCTCACCTGACCCCTGCCATCGTCCGGACCTCCCCAACGCTGAGCTGCGGCGGAGATGGCAGCGGCTGGGAGTGTTTGAACCGGGGTGTATAAGAAGTAAGCGTACGGTTGGGAGTCGACAGCGTTGATGAAAGGGATGGCAGTATTCTCAAAGCCTCTGGTTGCATCGGAGACTCGAACGGAAGTAATGTCGTCGGCGAATCGACGGCAAGCTCTGCAGGTTGAAGAAACGGAGGCAAGATCCGCCGGTTGCAAGTAGGGGAAGATGAGTTGGGCACACTCGAGGAGACTCTCTGGCGCCTCGGAAGAGTCCGGCTCTTCCAGTACGGGTCGCCCCGTTCTGCATCGTTTCTCCATAACCCAAATTCGATAACGGAAAATAAGGGCCAAAGGGACATTCGGGCTATGAAGCGCAAAAATAGGAGTGGTTTTTTAAAATGCCCAAATAAATTTTTTTATGCTTTGACAAGAATACCCTTACAGATGCATTGTACCGGAGTTCCGCCAGTCACCTTCATAAATCCACCACTGATGCTCGATTCGCCGCCACCGTCACAAGACTTTCCCATCATCAGCAGACTGACCCAGTTATGCAATGAAACTAGGAGCAATTAATTATATTAATTAATTAGATTAGTACTATTAAGAGTAGAAAAATAATGTTTAGTCCCATTTAGGAAATATTTAACTTAGGAGTATTAAGGGTAGAAACAAGTAGCTACAGGCAATAATACACAAAAGAAACAGCCGTCTTGGTCTATTTCACTTTCTGACATCACCGATGATTGCACTAGTTTATTTGTGTTGTTGTCATCAGAGAACTATATTGGAGACTAGTAAGATTCGCGCGTTGCGCGAAAGTACTGCATCCAACAAATTGCGTTTAGCCCATCACATTTTAGTATTTGATGGTAAGCTAATTATATTGCATTAGTTCAAAATGTTAGGAACATGCCACGTGATACAAAACATATAGCTTAATGTGTGTTGAGTTCTGATAACAACGAAACAAAAAATGTGATGCACATTTTGCATGAACTATACCCAGCAAAAATAGAGCAATTCCATTAGAAGTTTGATATTTAGAGCATATGACGTTTAGGGAAGTGGCTCATCTCTCTTTAGTTTCATAATAGGAGCAAAAGTAGTAGTTTGTGGTTCAACCATGAACATTCTTTTTCAACTTCACCTGCATTTGTTTCATCCTTGTCTAGTGAAGATGATACAGCTTTTTTCATGTTTTGGTTGAGCGTAGATCTTTGCTTCGATTTTCACCGTTATCGTTTGTATTGCTATATGATAACACAGACTTTTTTAATTTGTTTTGTTGCTTAGAGGGATATGACAAGGATTTTCAATTAGGGAGTTAACCACTATGATGATTTTTGCTGCGTATCAACTTCAAGTGAGATTTTCCATCATTTGCAATGGACCCAAAGACTCACTATTTTTTTGCTTGAAAATATCATGGAATAAAGCAAAACGGCTCACTAAACTGTTTGCGCTTCTTTGTTATGAAGCTGCAGTCAGTCTATCCATTTTGGCCGCGATTTTCACTATGAGTCATTCGGAAACAGTCTCTTTGTGCTTTAGTACAGGGGTAAGACTGCGTACATCCGACCCCCCCCCCCCCCCTCTTACCTCTCTTTGTGGCACTGGGGATGATGATGATGATGATGATGATCAACTTCAAGTGAAGCTTGTGTGGCTGATGTTTTAGTCATGCAACTTGCATCAAACTTCAATTGTTGTTTACTGTTTGGAGGATTTTGGTTGTATACAGTGATTTCAACATCTTCAAGCGAGTCATAGTCAATAGTAGCAACTGCATATTTTTGACTTTCTGCATCTTGATAATGAGAAGTGAAAGATCTTAGCTGAAAGACAAATTCTCTTCCATTGGGGAAACAATTCAATGAGATATTATCTCCTTGCAGCATTTAAGTTTGTTTCCTTACTTGATTTTAAATGACAGTTTATTTGAAGTATATGCTAGTGGGCATCTAGAATCTTAAATCAGAAAGTATTATTATCATTTTCATTAGCTCAGTAGCAGTTACATTGAGCAAATATTTTGCATTTTCTCCATATACAACGTCTTCTAGTGTGATTCCTTCTCCAGATAACTCAACCAAGATTGTTAATCTAAAGCCATGCACAGGTAGTAAACTTTGTGTTATTTTTCTTAGAAGAGTAAACTTTGTGTTATAATGATACAAAATAGTAGTTGGATTTAATAATGATTATATTACCTTGGTAATCCCACAACATTTGGTTGAGCACAATTAGGACAGTAGAATGACTGGTTGTGTTGAGCAAGCATTTTTATGTAGCATCAATCACATGTTATACTCCATGGCCAAACACGGGGAGGAATTATGTTCACCTTTGCTTTTATCCAGATAGGGTTTGACTAACAGAAAAACAAATCATTTTTATGACATACACATGCAAATAAACTCATACTGATGTTTTAGATATGATTTTTAAATATGAAACAACTTACAATTGGGATGGTTGGTGGAACTGTTTTTAGAGAAACCACTTCATAGTTGTAGAATTCAACCGATGCAATGGTAGCTCGGTTGTGATCTCTTTTTTCAATTTTTCGGTTGTGATCTCTTTTTTCAATTGTTCGGTTGAAAGCATCTTTTTTATTTTTTGTCCTTAATATAAGCATATGGTTCATGTATAATTTGAAGTGAATAAATATATTGAGTTGAAAGTGTTTGTATATATGAAGGTAAAAGGGTTCGACTAAGATGAGTATACCAAAGTTTTAACTCTATGGCTTTTAGGAAATCAGGATTAATCTTAATACTCGAACCAACATTTGTTGATAAAGATAGTCCTGAGCAAATGCACATAGTCTAAATTTAACATGTAAATACATAATTCAGAGCATGTGAGGTAAATGATTTTAGAATGATTTAGTTGACATGTAACCTCGGTGACCATTGACTGCAATCTTTTTTAGCAGTGCTATATATAGGAAATTTGCGAGACTCCAATTCATGTTTCAAAGCAGTACCCTCAATGTCCACAAATTATGGCCAAAACTTAAGGATAACTAGTTTCAAACTATTGAAAAGGAAAAATTTATAGTGAGGAAATATTTTAAATTGATAATAATTAAAATGTAATAAAGTATTAACTGCAATCTTTGAAAACTCATTGCAAGTCAATGACCACAATCTCTTTAGTTTTCACTTGCTTTTGCTGAATGATGGTGAAGTCTTTAGGCAACTTGTGTATGACAACTGCGAATAGATCTGCATGCTCTCATATTGAGTTATTGAACTATCGTATTTACAAGTTTGATGAGCAAGATATTTCAGTGGAAAGATATTAATAATAATCAATAGTCAAACCCTTCATCATTGATTTGTAGAGTTCATCAACAGGAACTGTGTTGAAGCTAGAATAAGTGCACCTAGCCATTTTTCTGCCAATGGTTGAATGACACTTTCAGACAAAGAGTCCACAAATATATATAGTTTGGATATGGGGTTTGAAGTTGTCATATCCCTTGTCAACCTTTGTGTTAGATATCAAACACATTGAGTTTGACATCAATACTTTTTCGTAATTAAAGATGTCCATGTCATATATCCTCAGCTGAACTTGAGTGCCACAAGGGAGAGGTCATGGGTTCGACTCCAAGCAACGACTTGGGATGTAGCCCCACCCTCTTTCCATTAGAGTGAGATCAAATCTCAATTTACATCCTCCCAACTTATTGTCTGGCCGGTGCTGGGGGCCCTCATGGATGGGGTGTCATCCTTTTTTTCAGCTAAACTTGAGTGCCCAATGTGATTTAATTTCAAAACCAGTTTTAATAAACTTATAAGAGACCCCATTAAAATATTTAAAATTGAAGCTAATACATGGAGTTTAAATACACATGCACTATACCAGACAACAAGTATTTACAGTTTCGTCTTGCAAAGTGCATATTTGATACTTTTTCTCGAGCGTTCTCATAGAATCTCATGGGCGTTATTTATCCAAAACAAGAACTTTACAAGTTCAGTCTCTAGCCCCAAGAAGTAAGTTTGATATTGGTTTATACGATTTCATATATAGTGTAATACCTGCAGAATACAAAGCACATTAGAAGAACATCTCTTTTTTATAACACTCGGTAATTTTATACATGAAATTGTATATTTATACTACTAAAGAGTTTACATTAATTCACTTAAAGAGTTATTATCTTGCTGCTAATTCTAGATTTTCTCGATACACAATGTTTTTTTTGTGGAATTGTTGTGCTTAAGATCAAAAGATTGGAACTGGTAATTTTGTTGGAGCAGTTTTTTTAGATTGTCACTCTTCTTTGCTCTTGATTAAGCAACGTAGAGTTGACCATGAGAAAAAACTAACTCTTTTGAGTAAATTCCCACAAAATCTAGAGTTTGCCCTTGAGTTAATTATATTTATGGTCATTACAAAACAGACTTCGAAAGGAAAAGGGCACTTTTCATCTTTTGATGGTTCTAGGGGTATCCTGGGTATTAAAACTTGTTCTCCTTACGGTCATCAATGACTAATGTACAAGCGAGAACATTATAGTGTAATTTATTGCAAACCAATCGAATTTCATTGCATAGTCCTTTCAGATTCAAATTTCTTAGCAAAATCAGTGGACACCCTTCCTTAAGAGTAAGTCTTTGTGGTGGTAGGCTAGGAGAAGAAACATAATTTAACAAGTCAAGATAACATTCAGATTTATATCCCTCTCCAGGTTCATCATAGCTAAAATAGTTTTTTTCTATGTTGGGAAATTGTTGGAGGAGAATATTGTTAAGTTCATCAGTAAATTCATTTTTTGTTGTAAGCAGAACTATGTTCATGAAAGCAAATGGATCACGTAAATAACTAGAGAAATCTGGAACACAGCTTTACTCAATCTTTGAACAAAGTCATTTTCTGTGGTGTATGGAATGATCATGGATACAGGAAGTGTAATTCTATTTTTATAGATACACTTTTCCACCTCATTTCCGATTCTCATGAGAAATTCAGAAAAAGGGGATCTTCTAAAGCACGCATGCTCCTTGTTAAAAATAACTTTTCTACTTTTTTCCAAATAAGATGAGATTTGACAATGCTTCTAAGAAATCTTGTTTTTTCATTGCTCATACAACCGGAAGGGTTCGTCTGAAATCTCCCTCTAGAACAACTACTTTTCCACCAAACAAATCATTGGAATCCATAATATCTTTTAGAATTGTGTCCACCATCTCTATTGTTGTGCGATGTTCAATACAAACCTCATCCCACTGCACTTCTTTTGCACATTCTCCAAACATGCTTTTATGTGTTTTCACACTAATTAATTAATTAACAACAATATGAATAGTGCTCCTACGGTTGAAGATTTGGATA